CTCTGTCACAATCTTCAGCATCACATTTATTACGATTTTTCTTAATTTCATACTTGTATCTTTTTTTTTGAAGGAGAAGATGCAATTTTTATTTTTATATTCATTGAAAAAAAGTTAATTAGCAAATTTTATATATGATGTCAATTAGTTTTGATCTACATAGTCTATCGTACAACCCAATAGGTCATGCCAGTGTATAAAATTTGCCGATCAATTTTTGTGCATGTTGTACAAAATTTTTTGAGGAATTGTGCATAAGTAGTTTAGTTTTTTTGATTTTATATATATGGTGCATCTAGTCTAGTCCCGGCAACTTTTACATGAAATTTTTTAATTCTCTAGTCTGTCAACAAATAAAATAAATCAAAAAGCTTTTCATAATCAGTTAGTTTGAAGCTTGAATTAACAAAAAATGAAGAGTTTTTTTTTAAAATCCCATTCTGTATGGAGCTATGAGCTTTTAAAAATCATCATTATTCTATGTTTGGTCTCAATTTGTCCACCATAAATCTTACCAAAATTGCTATATTTGGCTGGAATTAACTTGGATTCCATGTTACACCTGTCACGTGACAAAATATAAATTCAATTTTTTAACACGGTTTTTTTTTTGCTTCAAAAAAATTTAAATCTTTTTTGAAATTTATCAATTAATCATGCCTAAACTTAAAAAGCAAAAAGCACATTTAAATAAACTTGCTTTAGACAAAAAAAATAATAGCTCATTTGGTAATGAAAATCAATTGGAAACTAATTTAGGACAGTTTTCACATGAAGAGTCTGAAGAAAGTTGGTTTGAAGGAGGAATAGATAGAGAATTAGACGAAAATTCTGTAAAATATATTGATATCCTTAATGAATCCATGAAAAATTACATTTCATCATCAAGATCTTTGCATTATATAGGTAATTCTTCCAGAACTTATCGCCAGAAACAAAGTGAGGCTAAGAAAAATGCTGAAAAAAATGGTCAATTAATAACTGCATTTTTTGAAAAAAGTGAAGCAGATGTTAGTAGTGGAAATGAAAGTTCTGAGGAACTCATTGAAAATAATGATAAAGAAATGACAGAAGTTGCAATTAGTGACTTAGAGAAGCAGCTTAAAAATAATGATTTTAGTAATGGATATAAATTACGACTTACAGCTGTGCTTCAATATTTAAAATTAATTAAATTAGGTAAAAAAAAGTTAGAATCAAGTATATCTATTGCAAATCAATTAGATAGAGGTAAATAATTTGCTCGCTGTATTCGAGAATGGGCACAGATTGTTAAAGAAGGAGATTCTATTCCATTTTCCAATTGTGGTTTGCATAGAAAAACATCAAGTTTACTAGATGATGAAGACATTAAATTAAGAATAATCAAATTTTTAAATGAAAAAAAATTTAAATTTAATATTAATGATTTTATTAATCACCTTTCATCTGTTATTTTTCCATGTGTTGGGGTTGAAAAAGAAACAAACATAAGGTGAATTCTCATTAAATATATATAAATTAATTTGAACTGCAATCAATATTTATTTATTCAATATTTCATTCATTAGCCATGAAACTGCACGCCAATGGCTGCATAAAATGGGATTTTACTTCAAAACTTATAGCAAAGATGTCTATTATGATGGACATGAGCGTGAAGATGTCATTGAATATTGTAAAAAGTTCTTAGAAATAATGAAAGAGTATTTATGAATTATTATTATGCAAAATATTATTAAACTAAAATCAATCAATTAATTAATAATTATTTTTTAGATATGAAAGGTTAATGCCAAAATATATAGGAAATAATCTTGAAATTTGCATACTTCCAGATCTCAATGAAGGTGAAAAAATTCATATTTTTGTAACCCATGATGAGTCTACTTTTCATTCCAATGATGATCCAAAATCTGGCTGGGGTCCTTCTAATCAGCAACCTTTATTGAAAAAAGGAGAAGGACGTGGATATCATGTTAGTGATTTTCTTTGTGAGTCAATTGGACTGTTAAAACTTTCACCAGAAGTTAAGGAAAGAATTAATGATGAAAAGTTTCCAACTGAAGCTCGTGTTTTTTTGTCAATTGAAAAACAGCATGAAGGATATTGGAATATTCAAAAATTAGCTGAACTGGTGAAATATTGTGTTATTAATATTAATATCATTGAATTTTTTACTAATGAATTTTTACTTTTATAAAAAGATAATCCAAAAAGCTATACCAATTTTTGAAGCAATGCATCCAGGTTGTGTTGGAATATTTGCTTTTGACAACTCAACTTCTCGTGGTGCATTTGCTGATGATGCATTGATTGCAAAACATATGAATTTAAATCCTGGAGGTAAGCAACATAAATTGAGAGATACTGTATTTAATAATCAAGTTCAAAAAATGGTGTTTCCAGATGGTCAACCAAAAGGTATGCATATTGTTTTGCAAGAGCGAAATTTATGGAGATGGGTTATGGGCATTTTGTGGTAATGATTCAAATGAAAATAATGATTGTTGCGCTTGTCATATTCTGGAAGCCCAGCCTGATTTTCTAGCTCAAAAACCATTAATTCAAGAAATAATTGAGCAGAGGGGACACAAAGTAATATTTTACCCAAAATTTCACTGTGAACTGAATTTTATTGAGAGATACTGGGGAGAGGCCAAACAATATGCAAGAAACAATTGTGATTATTCTTGGAATGGATTGAAAAAGGTGGTTCCAAAAGCATTGGATTCTGTATCACTAGAACATATTAGGAAATATGCTAGACATTCTTTTCAGTACATGGATGCTTATAGGAATGGACTTACAGGTGAGCAAGCAAAATTTGCAATTAAGCAATATAAATCTCATAGAAAAGTAACCCACAATATTTTTAATAATGAAAACAATGAGTAAAAATTTCTGTAATAAAAAAATATTATGTGATTTGTGGATCTAACAACATTACACCTGTGTTCATATATAATTTTCAAATTTGGCCACTTATTATGTCAATTGCTGGGACTAGACTAGACGCACCATAGATTCCAGGAGTAATTATTGAAAAGGACAGGGACAGGGCATTCCCTGTCCCTGTCCTTTTCTAGCAGCCCTATGATGCAGTTAAAATTGTTAAATTGAGACTGAATAAACTTCATAGACTTTGTTTGGCATATCTGTTTTTTCTGAAATGTTAAATTTAAATATGTATATATATTTTTTTTGATTATTTTCAAGAGGAATAGCCTCATATAAAGTTAATTTGGAATTTATTTTGTGAATTATTTTTATTATATTTACTTTAATAAAATTATATGAGCAGGATATTGCCTTTATTTTAAAAAAAAAAAAAAATTTTTGCTCATATATAATATTTGTCATCTAAATTAATAATTGTTTACCTTAAACTGTCAAGACATGAATGAAATTCATCAATTAATGCATTTTCACCTTCTCCATACAACCATTCCAATGTTTCAGATAATCTTTTTAATAGTTCTGAACATTGCTCATCAGTGCTAACTTTTTTAACAATTGGTCATCAAGAAACTTTTGTAATTTGTAAACATAAGACTCCAAATGATTCTTTGCTTCTTCACAAGCATGATGTTCATGATCAGCTTTTTCCATAGAAGTTAATCTAGATAATATTTTATTATAATTGACATTATTTGTTTATAAAAATTGGATATTTGATTAACTTCTGGAGAATATATAAGTATACCATTGAATTGAATTAAGCTTCTCTTTTTCTCCTAAAGGCTTAAAATCAACATCACCAACATTATCAACATCAACATTTTTACCATCTTCATTAATGTCTGTGACGTTTATTTCTTTAACTTTAAACTGATGAATCAATCCAGCACCTCTAAAACCAGCACCTATAAAATATGGCAATAAATAAATACATGCACATATAAATAAATAAAATGTATAAAAAAATTTATTTTGCATACCTAAAACAGCTGCTTCATCTCCATTAAGATTTTGTGCAATTTTATTTCTGATAAGGAAAATAAAAACTATATATTTTAATTGAATATATTTAAGGAAAAGGAACCAAAATATTTAATACTTACTCTCCAACAAGCCTTTTAAGCACATTTTGAACAGCTGGTACACAGATACCACCAACAACTAACACACAAGATTTTATATCAGGCTATGACAAATTATATAAAAGTATATAATTAAGTCTATTGTAAAATAGTAAATTATAAATCACGGGAAACTAACATACACTTCCTGGTCATAAATATAAGGACACTTGCAGATCATCGGAAATAATTGAATAAAGAAACATGAAAAAAAAT